TCCTTTTAAAATTGAATTTAATGGGTGGCACTGATTAATTAAATTATATAGGTTTTAGGGTACATTTTTATAATATTCTATTGTATGTTCACGACCCCAAGTCAAGTCTCCTTCCCTCACCATTTATCCTCTTTATTCTCTCCTCCCTTTCCCCATCCCTTTTCCTTTGGTAATCACCACACTATTGTTTGTCTATACATCACCTTTTAATACCTTACTCTTTTTTTAAATCCTCACCAAAGGATATTTTTTCCTCACTGATTATAGAAGAGAGAAGAAGGGAGAGAGAGAAAGAGAGAGAGAAACATCCATCCGTTGCCTCCCATACACACCCTGACTGGGGATTGAATCTACAACCTGGGTATGTGCCCTGACCGGGACATTACAAACACACACATTTAAAAAGCACATATTTACGTTATATACATATTTTCCTAAATGCATGAAGTACTTTTAATAAAGGTTAAAAGGAAGCAAAAATCACAAAATATAAACGAAATAGAGTACAACCAAAGAGCTATATGATTTAAAAAGCAGGTAATCTATGCCCTTGTTGGTTTGGCTCAGTGGATAGAGCATCAGCCTGTGGACCAAACAGTCCGGTTCGACTCTAGTCAAGGGCACATACCTTGGTTGCAGGTTCCTCCTCGGCCCGGGCCCTGGTCAGGCCTTGTGCAGGAGGCAACCAGTCGATGTGTTTCTCTCACATCGATGTTTCTCTCTGTCTTTCCCTCTCTATTCTACTGTCCCTAAACAAATCAATGGAAAAAAATGCTCGAGTGAGGATTAACAAAAAATCCTATATAATAAAAAGCCAATATGCAAATTGTCTCCTTGGGAGTTTGATCGGGAGTTCAATCACTCGCTATGACGTGCACTGACCACCAGGGAGCGGCGTAGAGCATGGTGGGAGACCAGTGGCAGCGGTGGGGTGCTGAGGGAGTGAGGGAAGGAGGAGGCAGGGAGGCAGGGAGGCAGGGAGGCAGGGAACCTGATTGGCCCTGATCACTGGCCAGGCCTAGGGACTCTACCTATACACGAATTTTGAGCACTGGGCCTCTAGTAAATCAATAAATAATAAAAAGCAGGTAATCCATATATAAAGATTGACGTATACAGTCATTAAAGGTGAGAAAGAATACTACTAAAAAAAATTAGTCTTGGATTCAAAGAAAACTGTATTTTTCTGTTTATAAAAATAATTCAAGGCCAAAATAATAAAGAACTTCTTTTTCATTCCATAATAAATGAAGCTACTACCCCCTCTACCTTTCTTCAGGCCTTATCTTTTATGAAATTGTTTTCAGAATAACTGTAAGAACAAACATGCCTAGGTTATTATCGCCATAAAATATTTTCGCTATATAAAAACAACTAACATTTTCTATACACGACAAATGTTTACTAGTTTTGTGTAAGCATTTACAATGTATACCATCGGTGGTATGCATCTTTCTTCTTGTGTCTTGCTCACCAATGGCATTTATATTTACATGTACTTGTTCAGTAATAAGATTGTGACTACAAAAATAAGACATAAAATCTATATGCTAAAGTTCACCTAAAGTAAACATTTGTTTTCAGCTTCAACTTGCTTTGAGGCAAACCAGAAATGAGTATTAACTAAAGTATCTATGTCAAAGAAGATGCTTTACATTAAAAAGAGCACCATATTTATACCAGTTTCAGAAATACTGCATATACCTACTTAGTAATTTCAATCTTTTACTAGTACAAGCGCTGCTGCAGCAAAAAAGAACCTTTTTAAAAAGTTTATTTAGTCTATTGTTTCCCACTTTTGCCACCTAAGCCAGTTGTGCACTACCTATTGACATCACTGGATAGGTGAGTCCGATCTATTAACACTGGTTCAAATGATTCTCTTCTTCATTCTAATTTGACTACCAAGAACTCTTGTCAACACAGCAGTCTTATGTTTATTTTACCACAGAAACAATTTCAATATGAGTTATCAGGAAACTAAACACACTACCTTAAGAAGAAAAAGATTACTAAAAGAAAGCTAAACAAACAGAAAGTCTAACATCAGATACAATTTGAAAGCAATAAAAATGTAAGGATCTTGACCTGTTAACTAACACTGTGGGACACTACAGGAATTTTTTCCACAAAGAAACCAAACAGATTCTGAACTCTCAAATTAAATGTTTTAGTCTGTTCTTCCTTTTACATTTAAGGGAATAAAATTTAAAGTGACCACAATTCAAGTATTTATGGCACAGCATGCACATTAATTTTACTTACCAAATCATATATCTGGTTCGCCAACTGTACCTTCTCATCTGCATCTTCCAAAGCTTTATAGTAATCCTAAATAAAAACATTTGCATTTCAAAAATAAGTTAATAATCTTAAAATATGTGTATCTAGGACATATAACCACATTTTCATTCTCATTCCTTGTTATCACTGTCAGTCATCCTAAATAAGCAATAAAAACCCAGTTAAGAAAAGGGTGTAGATGAGGTAGAATTAGAAATTATGCACAATGGCCAAGAATTAGAGAAAGATGTTCAGAATTCCTAGAAAAGATATAAATAAAAATAAATACTATTCCAAGTCTAACCTCTATACTAATGAAAGTTATATGCTGTAATGACTAGATCTTTTCCTTAAAAATTTCTTTTGAAGTTAAGATTTATCTAATTTGTAAATAACATTTAAAGTCTCTAGTTTTAAAACATGATTTTTATAAAAGTACTACTACTGAAAAAATGCTAACCTGAATGTCTCTATTTTCCAACTGCTGTATAACTCTCATTTTAAGTTAGGTATCAATTCACACAGCTCAACCTATAGTGTAGATTTCTCCTCAGCAGAAAGCAAATTATTGTTTAAGAAAATAAATTCTATGACTGTCCCTGGAGTATCAGACTTCTCAGAGTATATGCAAGCTGCACTACACCAAAAACTTACCTTAACAGATTAAGGGGATAACGAATGACTTTGGGATGTATATATGTGATGTCTATATTCACACACACCTAAGCCTCCAGGTATCCTCTAAGCCAGGACCAATTCTGTCACACATTCTAAATTCTTGTTCTCATAACAGAAATAATCTTCCCCCCATGCGGTAAAATAAATGACACCACTACTCTAAATCTGTAGTTTTCAAATTTAGTAGCTGATCCTTGAACAATTCTATGTGGGCTGGAGTTGGGGGAGTCATTATCACGCAGAGATATTAAAGGACCTGTCCGATGCCACAGAGCGACATGGCAGAGTCATCACCAAAGCCAGGTGTCTGAAGCAGTTGGGTCAATGCATCTCAAACAAACTAAATCATACCCTTAAAGCAAACCCTGCGGGGAGAGCTGATATCCATTCTAATCTGAAAGACAGCTATAAGTACTGTACAACTAATTAAGAACTCAAAGAGATCTTTATTTCTAGGCCTAGTTCATGTATGAATTTAGAGTTTTAAACTAAAATACTTTTAAAGAATCCTTCTCAGCTCTTAAGATTCTGTTCTTCTGTGATAACACCAACTTAGGTACCTAGTAATATAAAAAATGTGCTTCAAGTTCTGCTAATTAAAAGTGTACTTTTTTATGGCTCTTTACTCTCTAATAAAAGTCACTAATTACTAAAACAGCTTTTAAATAAATTACCAAAATGCTTCAATGAAGCTCCAAAACACAACAAATTATTTAAATCCTCAGAAGCCATTGGTAACGTTCCCTCATTTTGATATCCAGAAAACTATTTATTTTTAAAGTATCTTTCTCAGAGAGTCCCAGTTTTAACCGACAAATCACCCAGAGTGCTGAACGTACTTTTTTGATGGATGCCATTTGTTCTTCTCTCCACTCTGGCTTATTTTTCTTTGCGTTCATAAAGAATTCACTGACTCTTTGCTCTAGTTGATCCATTGCATCTATGACATAACAAAAACATTTCATATTTAGACGACCAAGTTCATACACTGAATATACATGCTCTGACTAGGGGAAAGAAACAAATATCTGACAATGTACACTCCTTCACTGGGTCACTAACTTTAAATACGGCATGCTTTAATTCTGTAAATATAGAATGCCTTAATTACCTTAGTAAAAAACAAAGTCACAATTTTCCCTACTAATAATTTACTTTTGTTGATGGTAGTTTATAACTTTTTCCAATAGTCAATGTAGTCAACAATACAGAGAGGCTCTATACTGTAATTTCTGAATAGTACAGTCTTGGGTCAAAAGGTAATGGTATTAAATCAGCCAAATGTGTCAAAACACGATGTCGTATTGTAAGTACCACTGGGAAATTGACACATTCTTTTAATAAAAAAAATTATAAAAATGATTTTAACCTCTTGCTATATGATCTTAAACACAAGGTCATCTCCTATCTATGATTAAAAGCAGTAGGTACAATCATTTATCACTTAATATAGTATATTACTTATTCTAGATACATTTTTTTCCTAAATGTGTGCCAAGAGTAGTCATTCCATGGCTGCTAAAAGAAGAAAAATAAATAAAAGGGATTATGTTGCCAAATAAATTAAGGAAAACATTTTTACTATATCCTTCTTTTGGAGATTTTCAGTGAAATAATAGCTCTTTAAAGATTCTGAGAAGTCTTACAGTTAATTTTTAAGAGAATTTCCCTTTGTTTAAATAAGCATTTCCAAACTTATTTGCTAAAGAAGTCTTTTTTGTTAATCCATACCTATTAACTTTAGAAAATTCTAATTATTATAAAAAATATAGTTTAAAACCTCTAATTTATATAATCTAAGTCCAAATTGCAAGAGAATTTTAAATTTGTAATAATAAAAAAGCATAAAATAAGTTACTTCTTATTGAATGCCTACTTTCGATCAGGCACTGTATGTTCTAATTTATCTGTATTATTTTAATTCCAAATGATTCTCATTTTGTAGAGGAAAAACCCTCAGAAGTGGCAATGAGGCCAAGGTCAATGAGAAGTCAGTAACCAAAAATGAACTCGGATCTGAATGAACCTCAAAATCTGTGCTCAAACCTATTGGTAACTACTACTTTAGCGAAATTTTAACATTTCAACTACATTAAAGTTACAATGAACTCTGTGAGCAAGCTGGAGAAACGCACAATTCAGACTTCCACACCACAATATACTGAATAAAAGAAGGTGCCTTTCACATCGTATCACCTCCTATTACGTGCCACATGAAACTAACAACAGACTGAGAAAAGTATATTCCTGAACAATGGGTATGGAAATGTGCGTGCTGCTGCTGGGGCAGAGAAGCAAGGGAAGAAAAGAACAGGTTCTTAGCTACCTCAGGACTCCACACTCCGCAATGTCTGGTTCTCCGATCCCTTTTCCTGGTACTTCCTCCCTCCCTATCAGACCCCCTACCTCAGATCTACCTCCACCCCCACTTTTCTAAGAAAACCTGGCAGCACGAGAAACATTTTATGTATAGCTTAAACACAGCTGGAATGAATGGGATCAAAACATATTTTCTGCAGATATACTCCCACAAAGGCCAGCCATTCATATCATTTAAATAATTGAAGAGTTATCTTCATTTCTCCAAACAAGGGAGTGACACAAGGCCAAAAGGTACACTTGATTATTCACTTTCATTATGTACCATATAATTTCATATTCTTTTTTTTTTTAAGTAGAGCATTTTTAAAAATATATTTTTATTGATTTCAGAGAGGAAGGGAGAGGGAGAGGGAGCTCGAAACATCAATGATGGGAGAGAATCATTGGTCAGCTGCCTCCTGCACACACCCCACCGGGTTCTGAGCCTGCAACCTGGGCATGTGCCCTTGGCCGGAATCGAACCTGGGACCCTTTAGTCCATAAGCCAATGCTCTATCCACTGAGCCAAACCAGCTACGGCTAATTTCACATTCTTAATTTTTCGTATAGTATCTATACAAGATAGCAAACAGCTATATTACATTCACTTCACAAAGAATTGCGAGGTTCTTTCAAAACATGAGCAACATAAATTTGGTAATCATCTCTGTTTCCCTGTTGTTTTTGTTTTTTAAATATGTTTTTATTGATTTCAGAGAGAGGAAGGGAGTTGGTGAGAGATAGAAACATCAATAAGAGAGAATCACTGATGGGCTGCCTCCTGCACGCCCCCACCAGATCGAGCCCACAACCCGGGCATGTGCCCTGACCAGCAATAGAACCCTGACCTCATGGTTCATGGGTCAATGTTCACCCACTGAGTCACACTGGCCGGTTTTTCCTGGTTTTAAGTGTAATTTTGCTCAATGGATTGACCTTCTTATCTCCAGAAGCACTGATTCTTTACCTTCTCTGAATCCTGAACAATTTTAAGAAACTGCACAGAAAAAAAAAAAGGATCATATAAACCAAATACCGCTCTATGAAAGAGTAAGGTTGATTTTGGGAAAAAGTCACAGAATCACCAACCATCACTGATATAAGAAGGGGAGCCGCAAATTTTATTATGGCATACAAAAAGCTCTACAGTAAAATCTTATTCCCCTCGCTCATTCTGACTAACAAAATACCACGCTGTTGACAACTGAGAATACATGCTATAATGTGCAACTTTTCAAATGTGACATCCCAAGGGTCTCTAAAAAACTGCATGCAACCCATACTTCTATTTTCTGCTCTTATGGCTCAGAGTCAGAATGCTGACATTCATGCCGCTGTGCATGAAAACATCTACCTACGGTCTCAGTGAAGGCACAGGCACATTGGCTGCACAGTCCAAAATCCGAGAAAGGAACACAGCCGCGTTCCAGTGTCTCCTCTGGTCAACGCCAGGAGGAAAGTGGAGGGAGGCAAGGGAGGCAAGGGTTGGCATTGAATTCTTTTTGACAATTCCTATGTGCGAATCAGCCAGAGTTAGACAGCAGAGGCGCTGGGGTCGACAGCGACTAAGTCCGGCACTGAACGTGCGCGGCGAACAAGAGCAAACGCGCCCACTTACTCTGCACCTGCAGGTCCATCTCGCGCATCTCCGTGAAGCGGTCCCGCAGGTCCATGGGAAGCTGCTCAATCACTGTCAAAGGAAGAGTCCGTCAGAGGGGCAGGGCCAACGGCGAAAGTACGTGCCTGCGTCACTGCGTGCGTGCGTGCGTCGGTGGGGTGGGGGTCGAGGGAGCCGGCAACCCTGAGCGAGGCTGCCA